CTCTCTCTCTCTCTCTCTCTCTCTCTCTCTCTCTCTCTCTCTCTCTCTCTCTCTCTCTCTCTCTCTCTCTGCTACACAGGTATGCACACACACATACACCTTTGACCTCTCTCTGTGTATTTCCCCCTTCCTCATAATCTTAATGCCCATTTGTCCCCACTCCCTCCCTTCTATACATGATGTGACCCGCTGTGGATCGCACAAATTAAAAGGCTGACCCACTTTTCTTTTTTTTTTTGATCCGCATTGTTCTGTAAGGGCTGAGCATTTTTTGGATATGGATAAGGTTCATGGGGCTTTGTGCCAGCCCTGGGAAATTATCATTGGGATTAAGTTCGATTAATTAACCCAAAAAGCATGTTGTAACAGCTGTATGTTATTCTTTCAAGTAGTAGAAGGTACCAGAACCCACCGGCTATGAAGGCTCTCTGATGCATGGATGCTTATGACGAGACCGATCACGCTGTCTATGGGTTCAGCGGCTTCGGCCATGAAACAGTTTTCACCTTTCTGCAGTCACAGATGCGGGCACTAGAGTTCGATCCCCAGACCTTACCTTGCCCATGTACAGTATCGAGTTGACCCCCGAGTGTTTGAACCCGTGACCTCTATTTTGGCAGTTGTTTGATGTCTGTCGTACGTCTGCGTAGCTGTAGGGGTTCGATCAGTAGGTCTGTCGAGTAGGGGTCAAAGCTCTGTAGAGGTCGTAGCTGTAGATGTTCTGAAAGGTCAAGGGCGTAGCTGCTACAGTCCTCGAAAGGCCAAGTCCACAGACTTCCGGAAGGTCCGGAAGGTCCGGAAGTGGCCTTTCCAAGTTGTCTCACGTTTAGCCAGGGGCAAGTGGGCAAGTGGTGAGCCCAACAGCACTGTGTCGGCAGTGCGATTGCATTGAGTCGGCAGTGCAATCCCGTGCAGTCAGCGGTACCGGTCCAGTCAGTCACAGCCCAGTCGAGCAAGTACCATGAGGGACTGTGTGCACCATGGGCTGGTGGGAAAGGGGGCAGACCAACGAGTTACAGAAGTATAAATCAAGAGGCAGCGCCCAGCCATTCATTCATTCGCTGCGTAAGCCATGCGGAAGCGCTGCTACAGCGTCTTGTGCGAAGGTGGTCTGCAGGTTGCCCGAACATGAAGTGGGGTGAAGAGCGAGATTGTAGCCATAGCAGTAGTGGCGAGCGGCCATAGCCGCCATAGGTTAGAGGTAGCTGATAGTGTGGGGGGGGGGGATACTGAGTGAGTGTGTGTGGAGTATTCAGGGAGATCCAGAGTGAGCGTGTGCGAACACTGGGGTTGGACACAGTGACGAAGGTTGGGATGTATGGGCGCCGATGCGCCATAGCCTGTTTGAAGTGAATTTGCATCTGAACTGTGTTCTCGTCTTCCATATCTCTGAGCTTCGAGTGGGCGCACTGCGCCAGTGTGAATCGCCATCTGTTTGCATGTATGTGAAGTGGAAGTGAAAGCGAGTCTGATTGCATTGGTATCGGAGCAGGTTCCCGTTACCCCACGCGCCATCGTTGTTGCCGGCAGGAAGAAGACGCGCGCCAGTGGGCGCCATAGCTGAGGTGCACCGAAGTAAGAAAAATCCGCCATAGCTCGGTTGCGGAGTGAGGTGCGGCGTACCTGCACAGAAGACAACGACGAAGGAGAGAGAGAGAGAGAGAGAGAGAGAGAGAGAGAGAGAGAGAGAGGAGCGATACAAGATTGTTGTGCGGACCAGGAGGGAAAGCGGCCATAGCCGCGGAGCTCGGACACAGGGTTATCAAGAAAGAGGAAGGTGAAGCGAAGGAGAAGGGAGGAGAGACAAAGGAGAAGAAGACATAGCTAGGGAGAAGGAAGGAGGGACAATGAGAGTGAAGGAAGCCATAGTCGGGGTGAAGCGAGAAAGGAAGAGAAAGAAGGAAGGAGGGAGAAGGACAAGGAAGATTGGCGAGGGAGAAAGAGCTCGGCAGCCATAGCCGAACCAAGGGTTGACTAAGGTGTTGACCGAAGGGTTGACCAACGTTGACCAAGACTTTGACCGGAAAGTTGACCAGCAAGCTGTCTGGTGCTGACCAAGGTGTTGACCGACAAGTTGACCAAGCGTTGACCAGCGTCAATCCGGGCTGTTGACCACAAAATTGACCAAGCTGGAGTTGGTATATTCTCGCCAAGCCTTCAGCCTATCCCCTCGCCCAATGGATGTGCACTCACCCCATGGTACTTGCTGAGTCTGTCTGTCTCTTCTTTCTGCATTGAGTCTCTTTTGTCCAGGTGATAGGAACTCTGTGAATGTGGTCGTAGAGCTTTGTTGACCAAACCCACACGGGCTGAGTAGGGCTAAAGGTTGTGTCTAACGACCCGACTGACCCGGAGGACACGAACCCTCCCAAGGACCGGTACAGACCAATGGGCTGCTCGGTGTGGCACAGTAGGCCCAAAATCCGAGTTGTGGGCTGCACAACAAGCTGTCTAAGTCTTGAGAGGACTTGCTGATCACGTCGTCCTGTTTGCGACGTTAAATCATTCCTGAGGAGTTACGGGGTATCTCCTTAAATGCCTCCTGATCAGCAATAAGTCCTGTAGTGACAGCCTTAGTTTAGGTCCAGGCTAGAGACCATAGTTGACAGGATCTTACAAAGATTTTGTGGTCCTTAGTTGAGTCAGTCTTAGGTTAAGTCAGCCAGGGGTGTGAGTCTAAGTGGTGAGGAGTGGAACTGGCTCTAGGTTGTGCACCTTTCACCATGGTTGACCTCCGTAGTGACAAGAGCACCACCCCTTACACGAAAGCTCAGGAAGAGCAAGCCGCCGCCATATTGCAAGAGAGAAAAGAGAAAGAGACTAAGGAGTTAATTAGACAGGCCAAGAAGTTGGCCCTACAAGAGGAGCAGGCGGCGAAGAGGAAGAAGTTGGAGGAAGAGATGGAAAGATTGAAGAAGGAGGAGGAAGAAAGGATGAAAGTTGTGGACGAGGAAGAGATAGAAGAGGAGGAGGAAAAGGAAGAGCCCTGTTCAGAAGAGGTGCAGGGCAGAGAGGAGAATCCAGTGTCACCAAGAACGAGGATGCATGGATGGAGAAGAAGATCTCAGAGTGGGTAGCTAATTTATATCTAGGAGAAGAGGAAGAGGCCATGTTGTATGTTCCCCCAGAGGAAAAGGAATCCGTAATCAGGGAGTGGGAAGCAGAAAAGGACCCTTTGAGACGTCASACTATAGAAGAGGAGAAGAAGTTACAGTGGAAGTTGCGTCTCACTAGGGAGAAGAAAAGGAGGATGGATGAGGCTAGCAAAATGGCGAGGGAGTTGGAGGTGATAAAGGTGCAGAGGGAGGAGATGCAGGCGCAAGCAGAAATACAAGGGAAATTAGATGTTATGTCAAGAAATATAGAACTCCTAGCCAGAGCCTGGGACGAGCAACATCAGTTTGCTCGAGCCCAAGATATCACTTTACACTCCATCCGTCTGGGGTTTAGAGAGTTTGCACGTGAGATGATGCTGCACATGGGTGCAAAAATGAAGGCGAGGATAGAAGGCACTGAGAAGTTTGAGAAGGCGCCATTGAGGGCGCAAAGCTGGTCGTGCCGAAGGAAGAAGAGGTACGGCCCCACAGAGAGCCTGTAAAGATCAAGTTTCCTGAACCCTACAATGGGAAGAAGGAAGAAAACTTCGATAATTGGGAGGCGAACATTAACACGTACGTTTATTTACAGCACATTGTGCTTGAGGAACAAGTCCTCATTGCCTTTCAGGCCCTCAAGGACGAAGCAGCCAGCTTCGCTAGATCGCTCGCCCGCGCTGCACAGTGCGAGAACAATATGGTCGCCTATTCTAAGATCACCCCTCTCCCTAAGTTATTTAAACTCCTTAAGGAGCGATTTGCAGATGTCACGCGAGGCGTCAGGGCCTCTGACAAACTGCAAACTATCCACTCACGCTAGTGGAGGAGTGCCAGAGCACTCAAAGGCGTAATGGACGAGCTGGTAGTCGTCCCAGACTACGGGGTCACTGAGCCCCAGTTGGTCAATCTCTTCTATTGTGCCATGCCAGAGCCCCTACGTGGGCACTTCTTTGAGAAGAGCTGACAATTGACCATGACATATGATACATTGAGTAGAGAGGTGGTGCTGTTCGAGGCCCCGTCCATGCCAGTTTCCACTTTCTGGCACAGGGACTTAGACAAAGGCAAAAAGTGGAAAGGCCGTACCATCTCAGGTCAGGTAAAGGGAAAGGATCGTTTGATCCTTACGTTAGATGAATTGGTACATATGAGGTCCCATATAGCTAGATAGAGTGGGGCCTGGATGAGGGGGACAGTAGTGGAGGTCAGGGGAGGACCTACGGTGCTGTCGCGGCTGGAGGGAGGCCGCAAGGAAGAGGAGGAGGCCAGGGCCAAGGGGGCCGGGCCTCAGGTGGCCGAGGATAGGGCGCTCAGGGGGTTGGCGGTAAGGGAAACCGCCAAGAGGGAGGTAGGGGTCAAGGTCCCCCGCTTAATCGCTCACGATCTTATCGGTCACCTCCAAGAAGAGGTGGATGGCACCCAGGCTTGCCGCAAGGCAGGCCCTGGGAAGACTTGGGCTTAGAGCAGTCCGTATGGCAAAGACGGATTGATCACGATCAGTGTATTTATTGCGGTGATCCATATCATCAAGTTCTGCCCAAAGTATAGAGAAGCCCGGTATGCTGCACAAACAGCAAAAGGCAACCGCTGGTAGGGGTTGTAACTGCCCTTACCCCTAGGCCATGTGGAGAAGAGTGCGCGCAACACAGAGGACTCCCAAACCACATGAGCCTACGACAAAGGTTGCTGGCCAGTACCTAGAT